CCCGTCCTGGACGCTTCCTCTACTCCAGGATAAGCTATTGACGTACAGGTCATTAGCCTAGGCTAGTCTAGGCTATTCATCATGACCTCGTCTTACACAATTAGTGTCAGAACGTACTGGAATGCAGGGGTCACAGCCAATAGGGGATGGACGCGTGGCGTATGATATCACATCGAAGACAGAGAAACCACATGCCGTTGCTGACACGCAACTTGGGAAAGCAAACTATTAATTACACCATTCCCTTGATGAGACCGCATTCAAGGCGGTAAGGCTCGGAAATGAAAGGCAATAAATGCTCCTAATACAGAGCATTTATTGCATCCTCCCCGAGAGGAGCACATTGTACCGTCGGCATCCCGATGACCCAGCATTGATTGCTCGGGACCCCGAGCAGTTAAGAAGAGAAGACATTCCTCATCAGAATCAGTGCGCACACTGCCTGTACCTAATGATCACCTACTGACTACACTGACAGCAATCATGAGCTTTTGAGGTATAAATACTCCTTGCAAAAGGCAAGACGGGTATGCAACAAAAAACTCTTTACTACAACACCCACTCAGTGTTTTCTCCTTCCTCTCTCTTTCTCAAAGACTGACTAGATCGTCGGAGGGGATACGCCGAAAAACACTCCGGCGCCCTTCTAACTTGTTCTTCTTTGTTCCAGGAACCTCTTTCAGCCTTACTGGATCGTTCTTCCGCTTCCCCAGGGTTTCCCGTTGCCGTTCCAGGTTACCACCGGACCTCGCAGGCTGTACCAAGCCNCGCTTCCCCAGGGTCTCCCGTTGCCGTTCCAGGTTACCACCGGACCTCGCAGGCTGTACCAAGCCGCGTGGTTGGTCACTCAACCGGCTCACTCGAGTTCACCAAGGGAGAGATCTGTTCTCGTTTTTATATTGTGCAGGATCTTGCACGCACATTATCCAAAAATTAATAACTACAAAAATGTTCACCTGATTTCCTATCTGATTAATTTGGCTAGAAGTCGGATAGAAATACCTTACTTGATTGGGTAGAGTAGGTCAAGAATTTTTTTTTTCACAAAGTATCAAGTTGGAAGAGTCCATATTTTCTATCCGTAGGGTATGGTGAACACTCCTACCAGTTTCTATGAAAAAATGGTGCTCATTCAATGAATTTTAACTTATGACTCTAGATATTCAATAATGCTATTACATTTAGTTTTCGATGAAAGAGAATAATTGTACTCTCAGTCATATCGAATACTTTCATCTACAACGTTATTACAACCAAACCATATAATTGTACTCTCAATCATATCGAATACTTCCATCCACAACGTTATTATAACCAAACCATAAGGGCACCACCGAGTGGGGGTGGTCCAATTGAGTATTGACTGAACTTCTCATTTTAAAGTTGAAAATTCGAGTCTTAAAGTCTACATTGAGGCTCGGTGATAGATCGCCTATGAAACACGGATATTTCGTTGAGGTTGATGTACCTGTATCTAATACCATATCGGATACTCAATAATACGTATCGGATACACCTTTTACGTGCCCGATAATAATTAAATATTAGATACTTCACGGATACTTTTGTGGTCGAACAACATATATAATTTTTGAGTTGAACTTTTAATGTCTCTTTTCGAATTCACATATCATACAATACATTAATAAAAAATTCATATTACTCCAAATGCACATGAGTGTTTTTTAAGTATTATCTATAATTATATGTCAAAAGAGCATAAAATAAAGTTATTATATTATTATCTTAACAAAAATTACTTCTAAATATTAGGTAAATATTATCTTTGATTCCTTTAATTAGTCACTTCACTTTGTGAATATGCTACAACGATACGATATATATTTTCTTAAAACTAAAAAAAATTACTAATTTTTCTTATTGTATATTAATGAACTATAAAAATATATAAGTATTAAGTTGGTTGAAAATAATAAAAATATTAAATATATTTTATTATAGCCGTATTTTAGTCGTACTCGTATCTTACATTTTTAGACTTTATCATATTGTCATATCTGTATTGTATTGTAACTGTATCTCATATCCGTATCCGTACTTCATAGTTGACTGTTATACTACCCTAACTAAATTCAATTCTAAGAGGAATAATGGGCGCAATTAGAAGTTTCATAATTCCACTAGTGAGTGGTTATCAGATGACCCCTGAGCACTCTCCTTTAACCTATCCTTTTTCATACTTATCAAAAAATAAAAAAATGTGGGCCTTTNAATAATGGGCGCAATTAGAAGTTTCATAATTCCACTAGTGAGTGGTTATCAGATGACTCCTGAGCACTCTCCTTTAACCTATCCTTTTTCATACTTATCAAAAAATAAAAAAATGTGGGCCTTTTGTTTGAAGCAATTTATGTGTTTTCATTCCGTTGTCTTCTTCGAGCAATCTTTTTCTTTGAAATTTTTCGCTCCCCACAGGGTTTTGTAGCTGTCAGATTACCAAATTTGGGTAAATTATATTTTGACCCTGTCAATTATGCCATTAATCTCACTTTACCTCTTGAGTTATTAAATTTCTCACATTTATACTTTTAACTATCATTTCACACCGCCCCAACTACAAATGACTCGTTCTTTTGGTCACAAAATATACAAGTGCCTAGAAAAAGTGAAATAAAATAGCATAGTTCATTCAAGATAAAGCGTGACTTTTTCTTTTGGTTCAACGGGTGTTTGGATCAATTTATGTACATCTTGACTTATTCTTTACTGTTTTTTTATCGGTTCAAAGACAAACAATTCACGTCAAAATTAAAATATTATTAAGGAATAAATTCCTACTAATCTAGTTCAAAAAAAAATTATCAAGATTCAAATTAATTACTAGAGCTGAAGCTATACAAGAGAAGAATTATAGTTGAAAAAGCAATCTGACGAAGATTATGGGAATACCGTTCTCATAGAAGAAGGCACGAAGAGCAGAACAACCAGGACCCCCGGGAAGCCAAAGTATGAAAGGATCATCTTTCGGATTTCTTTCTGATTCAATGAAATAGTAGAACAACTGCACTTCATCTCTCTCTCCTACACCAATGTAACTTAAACCCACAACCGATCGTAAGTGGCCTGAACTTTAAACTCTGTTTGGTACGGTGGGAAAAAAATGGATGGAAAAGGGGAATATTATGGTACCGTATCAAAATTTATAAATGTAAAATATATGATCTATTCTATTACCATAGGTGATGGATAGTACTACCGATGGAAAATGGGAAGAAAAAAAAAGGGGGTTTCTGCTGTATCAAAGAATGATGAAAGAAGAGAAGAAGATTATAAAACTTACCCAGTTTCAAGTTTGAAGGGTAGATTTCTGGGAAAGCCCGGTAGAGTCTTGATGATGGACTTTGAGAGAGCTATGGCGGACAGGAGACAAAGAAGGAGGACTCGAAACGACGCCGTATTGATGAACATTGTGGAGTATAACCGGAGTTTCTGAGATTCATGTTCTAATAGCCATGGCTATGGCTATGGCTATGGNTGATGAACATTGTGGAGTATAACCGGAGTTTCTGAGATTCATGTTCTAATAGCCATGGCTATGGCTATGGCTATGGGGGTATCCACGGAATACATTTCTTGAACGTCAAAGTAAACGATAGTCGTCTTTAATGCTTCTCAGAAGTTTCTCTTTTCAGGCGAATTACGTTTCTGTTTCCTCATTTTTTCCCTATTTTCATATTATTTTAGTAACTGTTATATTTATATTATCCTTCAAGTATATATTTTTTTTTAATTCTACGGTCAGAGATATTCGGACGAGTTTGCGTGCACCTCGTCTAGTTCCTTCCTAAGCCTGGTCAAAGAAAAATCATTTACATCGGGACTGATGGATAAATATTTCTTAGTCTGATTCCAAAAAATTGTCAAGATTTAAATTCAAGGTGTTTGAGTTTACAACTCATTCTTATTACTACTTAAACTGTCATTGAAATTATACTTCTAACTATCAACTATGTTATTAGTATCATATTGTCATAATTATTCACATTACGATATGAATTTCATATAAAGTTATTTTGTTTTGTTCTCCCAAATTATGTATTTTTTTCACTTTATCCCAAACACAAATATATAAAATAATAAAATATTTTTATTAGGAGTAGATGTGAAATAATTCAATAGTTAAGAGGATAATATAAACCTGACCAAATAAAAAGAGCGGATAATGTGAAGCAATTCAATAGTTCAAGGAAGAAGTAAATTTTATTTTATGATTAAAAGAATTAAAATATAATTTATTTTCTTTAACCTTTGTTTCGTTAGCGAGAGATTGATGAAAAGTACGAGAAAGAGAAAGAGAAATTTGAGTTTTTACTATTTTGTTTAACATGATAATGTTAGAAACTGTTAGAAACTAAATTCTTGGACTAACAAAATTTTCTAGTAATATGTAATTTTTGTTGCTTGCATACAAGAAATTAATTTTTTCTCAAAAAAGTTGAACAGGCATAACTAGTTTTCTAGTTTATCCATATTTTCTCTTATGTTAGTTATTATCTATTGGATATAAATCTCTCTAATATAGATAAGAATAATATTAATATTTAAACAAATTTTATTATAACTTTTCTCTTTTTAAGCTATAAAAAAAATTTAAAATTTTCGTATTCATTTTTCATATTAACTAAATATATAAAAAAAAATATATTTTCTGTTCTTTTCTTTTATTTCATTTTTTATCGCATTCAATTTCTAACGTTATTTTCTTTCTAATCAAAGCGAAACCTTAACGTGATTTTTTTAAGATTTTGCCGTCTTTTATTGACCGAAGGATTGTTCGCCTGATTGATGGGAGTTGTACTTTTACTTTCCAGAGAAAGTACACACAAACCCTTTTTAATTAAATTAAGTCCAAATAACACATTTCTTTAATTTATCATATTACAGTTGAAGGCATCATTGTTTCTGAAATAACACTATGCATGCAGGAGACCATTAACACTTGCTAGAACACTGACCACCTAAGTTTTGGAAAGTTCAACTTATTCGATGAGTTTAAGAGTATCAAACGTACCGATTTCATAGAAAAAGGCACGAAGACCAGAACAACCAGGGCCGCCAGGAAGCCAAAGTATGAGAGGATCATCTTTCGGACTCCTTTCTGATTCAATGAAGTAGCAGAACAGCTGTATTTCATCTTTTTCTCCTATGCCAACGTAACTTCACCCCCAAATGATCGTAAATTCATAATTCACACATTTTCTTACTTTTTAAAAAATAGCATGAAATGATAGTAAATCGAAGAAAAAAAAGAAGCAGAAAATGTATAGGCTTACCCAGTTTCTAGTTGAAACGGGAGATCACTAAGATAGCCTGGGAGAGTCTTGACGATGGACCACGACGTGATCATGCCGGAAAGGAGAAACAGAAGAATGAGTCGGAAGAGCATTGGTGGTGCCATGGAGAGAAGAATGAGTCGGAAATCAACAAAGATTGTCTTAAAAGATGTCACTATTCTAGGTGGACGTTGCTTTCTTGCACTTAATGTAGATATTTTTAGGTTAGTTGGTGGAAGTGACGAAAATATTCATCGAAACCACATCAATAATAATGATAAAATGAACATCACTTTAATAGTTTTGGATTTATATAGAAAAATGAGTGAATACTTATTAACTTGCGTAGACAAATAATTATTGCCTTGTATAGAATTCAGTTCCTCGAAGGGACAAGACTTTAGATAATATCCTCTATGGGGCGGTTGCTTTCTTATCAAGGGGTGTTGGGGGGAGGCATTTGGGTTTACACCCATGTGAGCTGTTAAACAACACGTCTCCAAGAAAAAATTGTACGAGTCAAATGTATATAATTAAAATATAGAGTTAATTGTACTGGGGGATTATAAAATATGAAAATTGTCTTATTTTGATTTTTAATATTTTAATTGTATAATTTTAATTTTTTAAGTACTGAATATATTTCTATGTGGTCNAATCAATCCAAACTCCACTTCAAAATTCATCCAAACAAGCTAGTATTCAACATGTTATAACACAATCTCTTTCTCTCTCTCTCACACACACACATAATATCCTGTCAATTGAAAATATTAACATTCAAATCTTTATAATCTCTAATCTCTTATAAAGTTTAATAGCATTTTTAAATTAGAAGGTCTAATCAATCAAGAATATTTATTTTATTTCTTTCTTGTACTAAAAACTTTTCCTTGATTTATAACTTCTCTCTTCTTTTTATCAAAAAATTATTTGTGAGGTTGTGTTTTTGTTAAATGTTGTGTTTAGTTTAATTCAATGTTGGCAAAACTAGTTATTACAAATTTTTACTTTTTAATTTGCACATATTTTTACATAAGTCTACTGTTTGAAAAAAATTACTCAAAATTAAAAAATTAAAAAAAGTGGATAAATTAATAACATATAGAGATTAGTTCTTACGAACATAAACTAATATTAAATTGAAAACAATGACCTACGCTAAAAACTAGACTCTTCTCAAAATGAAAGTATTGTTTTGAGAATATTTTTCATAATATTGATTAAAAAAAATTTCTTAGAGAGAGATGCCTATACAAATTTGGATATAAAATCTTTAAAAAATATTNTCATAATATTGATTAAAAAAAATTTCTTAGAGAGAGATGCCTATACAAATTTGGATATAAAATCTTTAAAAAATATTATGGAGAGATGAGGTGGAATTCAAAGATAAGAATGGACACACATTCAGAGAAAATTATCTGGCCAAGAAGTAAGACATCAAGCAACCTATAGACCATATATCCATGACATTTTATATTCACTGATACCAAAAATGATATCAGGACTATGTTAATACTCTAAACATTTGGTTCTTCTTTTACCCGATGAAATGGTAAAAGTACCACACCCAAGTAATGAAGCATAAACCATTAACTAAAAATACCATAAAGGCTTTACAAAAACTTTTGTACTTTCAAAATCATATAATTTCACCTAAGTAATTTTGCTCCCATAGTATAGTACAACACTCTAAAGTATGTACCTTATAGTAACTATCCCTCATCCTAGTCTTGTACTACACAAAATGACTACGCCTCATCCTGATAAAATTGCCACTTTATAGTGTAGGCATTGCATCTGAGAGGTTGTGGTAGGAAATGGCCTTGACATCTTCATTGTTTGCCCAAAGATGTCAGCGTTTTATTCATAAATCAGTCAAATTTGTGTATAAATTTTTTAGAACACCATGTTTTT